CATCAAGCACCCAATGCACTATAATTCTCTCTATAAAAAGAGTGTAGCATTCTCTTTGGATTCACAAATCAATAGACAGACAACATTGTCACTCTCTCTCTCTATATTATTTCATGGTCATTGTCTCTCTCTCTCTCTCTCTATATTATTACATGGTATCAGAGCACAGTGATACAATTCTGGCATTCTTCAATTTTGGTGCCTAGTCCCGTACACAGTGGAACTACACCAAACAGCTCGGAATCTCCTTACGATTCCAACGGCATCAAGCCCGTCACCAGAAACTCTTCCACACGCCCTCACGCGCCGCCTCTTTGCTCGGCGCGTCTCTGCTTCCGTTGCCACGCTCACACGCGCCTTCGCGCGCCTTCCACTCTGCCCTATCGTGCGCCGCACCTGCTACCGTGCACCCGCGTGCGCCATTCGCCTACCGTGAGCCGCGCATACGCCGTTCCGCTATTGTGCACCCGCGTGCGCCGTTCCGCTATTGTACACCCGCGTGCGCCATTCTGCTAATCTACGCCGCGGGCCGTCTCTGCTATCGTGCGCTGCACGCCCTCTCTGCTAACGTGCGCCGCTGACATCATTTTCCACCCTGCTGACATCATCTCTACACAGCCCACCTTTCCTAGCTATTTTCGGCCTTCTGGACTCACTGGTACACTCTGTTTTACCTAATTTTGCTCCTACAGGTCTATTCCTATCAATTTATCCCTACTCAACTATTACTATGGATCATCCTGATGCCTTCCATCCCATTTCCGTTATTTTGAATGGTTCCAACTATGTTCTATGGGCCCAAGCCATGTCTTCCTTCCTCAAAGGAAAGAAAGCCATGTCTTCCTTCCTCAAAGGAAAGAAGCTCTGGCGAATTATCACCGGGGACATAACCCAACCGATGAAAGACACTACTGAAACCATTGTTTCTCCTGCTACTCCTACATATGAAGATCGTCTTGAGGAATGGGACAGTAAGAATTACCAAATCATTACCTAGTTTCGAAATACTTCTGTTACGTCTATCAGTCTTTAGTTTGGTCGCTTTCAGCTTGACTCTGTAATAACTCCTGCAAAAGACATCTGGGATTTTTTGAAAGAATGATACCAGACTACTGGCCTTGCCCATCAATATCAACTTCAGAACCAACTTCACCGCATGCGCCAAGAATCCACTCAGTCCATTAATGACTTCCTTTCTCAAATGTACTCTGTTTGGGATCAGCTTGCTCTTTCAGAACCAACTTGGCATAACAACGAAGATGCTGTTTTATTTACTATCTATCGCAACCAATAAAGGTTGGTGCACTTTCTCATGGCTCTTACTTCCTCCTTTGAGCCCGTACGTGCCTCTCTGCTTCATCGCCATCCATTGCCCACTCTTGAACAAGCAATTTCTGAGTTGCTATCAGAGGAGACTCGTCTCGGTACTCTTCAAACTCATCATCTGGACTCTGTTCTTGCCACTCCTCCGTCCCGGCCATCATTTACCCAGCGGACCACTGCTTGCCTCTATTGTCAAAATCAGGGCCTTCCTTCAACCCATCTCCTGGTCAATTGCCCCGTCAGATCCTGCCGCTACTGCAACAAACTTGGTCCTGGTCATCTGCAACAGGATTGTTTTCGCAGTCCATCCCAATCATCCTCCAATAGCCACTCCTCTCGCGATGGCTCTTTCCGGGGAAGCTTTCATCGTTCCGGAAATCAGTCTCATCACACTACTACTGCTGCTTCTGGGAATCAGTCTCATCACACTGGTGCTGCTGCTTCCAGGAATCAGTCTCATCACACTGATACTGCCGCCTCTGCGGGGTTCTCTGAGTCACCTGCTCCGTTTACCCCACGCTTTTCTTTGACAGATGTCGAGGCCATGCTCAAACAACTTCTCTCCCCATCTGGTACACCTCCTCCTACTGCTTTGTCTGTAACCCCAGGTAACTCTTCTTGGTATTTTGACTCTGCCTGTTGTAATCATATGACCTCCAGTTCTATTATCTTTTCTTCCATATCTTCATCTCCTCTTATTCCCTCAATACATACTGCTGATGGTTCCCTCATGTCTGTCCGTCATGTTGGTACTATTTCCACCTCTTCTTTATCTATACCTCAAGTTTATCATATCCCTGCTCTTACCTTAAACCTTATTTCCATTGGTCAATTATGTGAACTTGGTCTCACTGTCACATTTTCTGCTACTAATTGTTTGGTACAGGACCTTCAGACGGGGCAGACTATTGGGATCGGCCGTAAGCAAGGACGTCTGTATGAACTCATTTACCTTCATGTTCCTGCCTCTCCTCAGATCGCTGCTCCTACATCTACTTCCTCATTATCTCCCTTTCATCTTTGGCATTGTCGCTTAGGACATATTTCTGTTAATCGCTTAAAATCTTTGGTTTCAAGTGGACAGTTGGGTCATGTACTTCTCGATAATTTCGATTGTATACCCTGTCAACTTGCCAGACAACCTGCTTTATCATTTAATAAAAGTACTTCTGTTTCCCTTGCACCTTTTGATCTTATACATTCGGATATTTGGGGGCCCTCCCCTACTACTACTATGGGGGGATCCCGCTATTTTGTTGTTTTTATTGATGATTTTTCCCGGTTTACTTGGCTTTTTCTCATGAAAAATAGGTCTGAACTTAAACACATTTATTATCGATTTGCACAAATGGTTCACACCCAATTCTCCAAAACCATCAAAATTTTTCGCTCTGACAATGCTATGGAATATCGGGATTCAGATTTCCTTTCCTTTCTTCAGCATCATGGTACACTGCCTCATCGTTCCTGTGCTGGCACGTCCCAGCAAAATGGCCGCGCTGAACGGAAACATAGGCATATTCTTGACACTACTCGCGCTCTCCTTCTCTCTTCTTCCTGTCCTGAAAACTTTTGGGGGGAAGCTGCCCTCACTGCTGTTTACACTATCAACTGTGCTCCTACCCCTGTGCTCCATAATCAAACTCCCTTTGAACGTTTGCATGGCACTCCCCCTCCTTTCGCCAATCTCCGGGTTTTTGGCTCTGCCTGTTTGTTCTACTTCAATCCCATGAACACACCAAACTTGAACCTCGTTCTCGTCTTTATTGCTTTCTTGGGTATGGAATTGAACATAAAGGCTTTCGCTGTTGGGATCCTCTCTCTAAACGTCTTCGTATCTCCCGCCATGTCGTTTTTTGGGAGCACCAAATGTTTTCCTCGTTATCCTCCTTTCACTTACCCGCACTTTCCACTACTGTACTATTTACTAATCCTTCCATAGATCGTTTCTCTGATGATTTTGATACAGGTTCCTCCTTCATTGAGACGCCCTTGCTCACTCCTGATCCTGTCCAGCCTGCTCTCCCTGAAGGTCTACCTCCTATTGCCACACCTCCTTCTCTATCGGTTCTTCCTCTCACTGATCATCCTACGGGTCGACCACGCCGGGTAACTCAACCTCCTATCCATCTTCGTGATTATATTGTTGGATCTGCTGCCTTCTCTACTTATGAACCGACCTCCTATCGTGAGGCTTGTACTAATCCTCTTTGGCAGCAAGCTATGACTGATGAACTCCAAGCCTTGGATAAAGCTCATACATGGGATCTTGTTGATCTTCCTCCTGGCAAGACTGCGATTGGCTGCAAATGGGTTTACAAAATCAAAACACATTCTGATGGCTCTATTGAACGCTACAAAGCTCGTCTTGTTGCCAAAGGTTTCAACCAGGAATATGGTATTGATTATGAGGAGACATTTTCTCCTGTTGCTCGGCTTACCTATGTTCGCAGTTTACTTGCTGTTGCTACTGCTCGCCACTGGGGCCTCTTTCAAATGGATGCCAAAAATGCTTTCCTCAATGGTCATATTCTTGAGGAGGTCTACATGCAACCTCCGCCTGGGTCCACTTTTCAACCTCATCAGGTTTGCAAACTACAGCGTGCTCTCTATGGCCTCAAGCAAGCGCCTCGTGCATGGTTTGCTGCGTTCAGTTCTACCATTCATGACATAGGGTTCACCTCTAGCTCCTATGACTCTGCTCTTTTTATACAGACTACTTCTCACTGGTAATGATGAAGTTGGTATTCTCCACATCAAACAGTTTCTCCACCGACAATTTGAGATGAAGGACCTTGGTACTCTTAACTACTTCTTAGGCCTTGAAGTCTCTCATGATTCTACTGGTTCCTATTTGTCCCAGGCCAAATATGCATCCGATCTTCTGGCTCGTGCTGGTCTTACTGATTGCAAAACTACCTCTACTCCAGTTGATCCTCAGATTCGTCTCGCTCCTCTCGATGGGACTCTTCTCTCTAATGCTACTCTTTATCGCCAGCTCGTCGACAGTCTTGTCTATCTCACAGTAACTCGTCCTGACATTGCCTATGCTGTTCACATTGTAAGTTAGTACATGTCGGCTCCTCGCACTCCCCACTATACTGCTCTACTCCGCATACTTCGCTACCTCAAAGGAACTCTGTTCCATGGTCTTCACTTCTCTGCTTCCTCCTCTCTTGAACTGCGTGCCTTTTCTGATGCTGATTGGGTTGGGGATCCTATGGATCGGCGCTCCACCACGGGATTCTCTTCTTGCTTGGCGTAGCAAAAAAACAATCCATCACTGCCCGCTCTAGCACCGAAGCTGAATACCGAGCTCTTGCTGATACTACTCAGGAACTTCTCTGGCTTCGTTTGCTCCTTGCTGATATGGGTGTTTCTTCTTCTGATCCTACCCCTCTCTATTGTGACAATCAGAGTGCCATTCAGATTGCTCACAATGATGTTTTTCATGATCGCACCAAACATATTGAGATTGATTGTCATTTCATTCGCCAGCATGTTACCCGTGGTACTGTTCATCTTCTCCCTATTGCTTCAGTCGATCAACCCGCTGATATCTTCACTAAGGCTCATCCTCCTGGCCGCTTCAATGATCTTGTTTCCAAACTCAACTTGGTTGATGCTTTCCCTCCTTGAGTTTGTGGGGAGATGTTAGTGTATAATTGTATAGCTTTAATTATTGTTGTATAGCTTTAATTATTACTTAGCTTTAGCTTTAGCTTTAATTATACATCTTTAATTATGCATTATTCTTTATGTTTGCTTTCGGTGTGCATCAAGCACCCAATGCACTATAATTCTCTCTATAAAGAGAGTGTAGCATTCTCTTTGGATTCACAAATCAATAGACAGACAATATTGTCACTCTCTCTCTCTATATTATTTCATGGTCATTGTCTCTCTCTCTCTCTCTATATTATTACATCACCAAATAAATTTTGAGAATAGAGAATTCCGTGGCACCTAACAGCAACAACATTGAGCATTGTCCTCAAAAGGTCCAGAAGTTGGATCGTAATTTGGAGCATCCTCATCTTCCGATTCTGATTCTCGAAAACTGTAAAAAAGTGCCACCACAATGTACAAACCAAGATTCACAGCAGCCAACCAAGCCAGCGTCCAATAATACTTATCAAACCGACTATGGTTCAATGTGTCCTGAAACCAACTCTGTTTTCCTCCTCTTTTACTCACCTTCCCTGCTACATACACTGATAGAACACTCCCTATATACCCCAACCCCATCACACCGACACCAATATGGATTGCATAAGTCCTCATCGATGGCCCAACCTGTCAAAAATTGAGGGCATAACAAATTATTTATTTAAATAATAAATTAAAAAAAGAAAGAACATGCAGGGAAGCTAAATCCATATAAAAACACGTAACACTTATTGACAGAGGCATGCAGTCACTCTGTGTTTGATGGATTTTTATTTTGAAATAAACTTGAAATTCTAACCAACCTGATCGAACAAGATGGCTTCAACACTTTTTTCAAGAATCCCATCAAGGGCACCGATGAGTACGAACTGTGGAAGCAGCCAAAACACGCTCATCGGAATCCTCTCCTCAGGTTTGTCAACCAACCCATGAGTCCTCACCACATTTAGCCTTTTTGTTTCCACTTTAGCAGCAATAATGCAACATAGAATTGCAAAAACCATCGACACAGCAACAGCAATGAGAGGAGCATAGTGTTGCGCCCCTGACCCGCCTAGCTTGACGGCAAGCTTGTAGTATAGTTTGGCGAATTGTTGTTTGCATTGGTCGTAGAACCAGAGAAGGATTGCGATGGGGATTGAGAGTTTGCCGAGCTTGTGGGTCATGTGGTTTGCTTGCTCGATGAAGAATGTGTTGCCGATGGCAGAGACAACGCCGCAGAAAATGAAAGTGATGCATAAAGGGATCATTCGAATGGTGAGTTTGGTTTCTTCTACCTCTGTAACTCTGCAGAGTTTCCATCTGTTTTTCTGTTGTTCTTCTAGAGGCTTTGCTGGTAATATAATTGCAGCCTTTTCTAGACACCTGCATTTCAAAAATGGATTGATTTAAGTAAAATTAGTTCACTTTCAAACATATTGTCTAAATTGTTGACGGAACCATAATAATAAAATAATTTGGCCAAATTATATCGATTTTCTTTGGACTTTGGTCCTTGTATCATTTTGATATCTGTAATTGAAATTAGTTTGATTTGATTTTGAATTTATGATTGTGTTTTGGTTTGATCAAATTGATTACAATTTTAGTTTTTTTTTTTTTTTTTTTTTTTTTTAATAGAAAATCTGCATATAAGCGGCATGTGTCATGTTTTTATAGACAAAAGTTATCAATTGGATCCAATTGATCCAAAATTTAAAATTAATAATTAAACTAACTTAAATGACATGGACCAAAATAATACAAGGGCAAATTGCAAAGATTATCGATGTAATTTACCCTAAAATAAACATATAATTTCTAAAATATGCATTTTATGTGACTTTTGCCTTCAAAATTTTTAATTTGTTAATTTGATCCTCAAACAATATGTATTATAAGAAAATATCATTTCCCCCCTCAAACTATCATTCAAAAATCAATTAAACCCTTGTTCTTTTATTAATATCAATTTTATACATAAACTATTTGATTTTGAATCAATTTTATCCCCACCATCAATTGCCGCCTATAGTGAAACATAAATTGCTCATGTGGCACCGACATTTTATTTGAAATTTCATTTTATCCCCAAACTATTTTCAAAATATCAGTTAGACCCTTGAATAAAATAAAGTTTATGGGTTTAATTAATATTTTAGAGATAGTTTGGGATAAAATGAAATTTCAAATGAAATTTTAGTATTATGTGAGTAGTTCCGTTTGATTATAAAAGACAGCTAACAGTTGAGGTAAAATTAATCTAAAATCAAATAGTTTAGGTATAAAATTGATATTATTAGAAAAAAATGAGTTGAATTGATTTTTAAGTGATAATTTTGGAGAGCAACATAATATTTCCTCCATTTTTACCATCAGTTTTACATATCAATGAAAAAATTATCCAATCATTCTAATTTTTTTCACAGATGATCTATGCCAAGAGACCCAATAGAATGAATAACTCGAATCACCAAAGTCAGACCGGTGGTGAACTTTATGTTCGAAATATCATGGTTGAATCTTCTAATTTGATCAAGTTCAGAGATACCTTAGGTGACGTGAGTGAGGCAACAAATCAACATCATCAACACCCCTTGTTTCATAGAGCCGATCAGCCTCCTTTGGGCACTTACAAAACATCTTGGAGGTTGCAGCCACAAGCACTCTAAACACAATGCTGAGCGAGCTACCCTGCGGCTTAACACAATTGTACGAACCCGAACGACTCAAGAATACCAGTGTAGCCACCATTGTAAAAATGGCCGGTATGCCAAACCGAATCGACCATAACCTTATATATGTAATCGCAATGACAGCACCTATAGGGACAATGGCGATGAACGAGCACGTAGTGACGTTGCCGAGTACATCTTCTGAGAATTGCTCGGCTATGAAAGCCCCTAGTGAAATTAAGTGACCCGAGAGTCCCAGAGCTATTAGAGCTAGTGCTGTGTAGAAGAGTATTTTCTGTCCCTCGCCAATGCATTCGGGCTCGTATAGACTGCAAGTGCCTGTGGCCTTGGCGAGGACCGGAGGGGTTGACATTGTTAGGAATCCCAAACCCTGCACACAGAGAAGTTTGTGTCTGAGAAGACAAATCTTATAGAATTGCTAGCATAGCCCATGACAATCAATAAGGAGTAATTTAAGTGTTTGGTTGATACAACACGGTGATAATAAATTTGGTTTCAAGAAGTCTTATATTCCCTATCTAAAAAAAAAAAAAGTCTTATATCCGAGTCTTGTGATTTAAAATTTTAGTAACCATGATTTGGAAGAGATGTACTATCATGTGATTTGGAGAACAGGCTTACTCACAAATATATTTTAATGAATATGAAGTTACAAGTTCAAATCTCACTGACAATTTTAAGGGTGCACAAACTCATACCCATTAATCCTAGATTAGGGTTGGGCTCAGGCTAGGATTTAGTTCGTCTCTAGGGACCTATGAAGCACGGGTGCGGATACAGATATTGATATGGGTATGATACGAGTATGCCAATAAGGTAAGACCTAAAAAAAATTAAGATACGGGTACGGTATGGGATTTGTGATTTAAAATTTTAGTAACCATGATTTGGAAGAGATGTACTATCATGTGATTTGGAGAACAGGCTTACTCACAAATATATTTTAATGAATATGAAGTTACAAGTTCAAATCTCACTGACAATTTTAAGGGTGCACAAACTCATACCCATTAATCCTAGATTAGGGTTGGGCTCAGGCTAGGATTTAGTTCGTCTCTAGGGACCTATGAAGCACGGGTGAGGATACAGATATTGATATGGGTATGATACGAGTATGCCAATAAGGTAACACCTAAAAAAAATTAAGATACGGGTACGGTATGGGATACGTCAATAATTTTTTTATGTTTTTTAATTTATAGTTTGAAATTCATTTACAAATCAAAGTTCAATATCAAAACTAAAAAGAGAAATTACAAAACCAAAAGAAAAATCATAATTCAACAATACCAATACTAAAGCAAAGTCAATAATCTATTTTAATGCTATTAAATAGGAAAATTTATAAAAGAAAGTTTCATTCCAAAAGTAAGCTAAGCAAAATTTAAAAATTTAAAATTTTAGTTTTCACTTCCATCAGCGTCAACATTGAATAATATATCTTTCATCTCTGACCCATCAAGTAAAGGATTTGCAATTTTAAGTAAATAAGAACTTTCTAATAAATTAAGCGTATTTCCACCAATGTCTCATAACTTGGTGTATACCTGATATACCCATGAAGTACTTATAGAGTACCCACATACAGTCCTATCGGTACGAGTACTAGTACCCGGTATGAGTACAACAATATTTTCGTAGTATTCATACTTCGTAACCAAGGACCGTATGTGGACATCCTGCAAAGTTTGCAAACCCCTCATTTATAGGACCGTTTAGGCCCCTCTTGTTTAGCTCATCAATGATGGAGCTCCTGTATATGGTCCTGCTTAAGAAGAATTGTCATGCGTTGATCGCCTCTACCCTATTTTGATTAGACTTATAAAAAAAAAAAGCACGACATTTTGGGAGTTGGGAAGAATAGGAGATACTCACTGCACTATAGGCAAAACTGGAGACGAGAAGCATCCAGTAGTTACCCATGAAGGCATCAACAAGGAATTGCATAGGCAAGAGCATAATTACCATCAATCCCCAAAACACATTGATAATTGCAGCCGCATGAGTGAAGTTGAGCTTCCAAACATTTGTTAAGTATAGCATCATCATCCACATGGCGTACCTGGCTAGTAAGTCAGCCCACGTCAGATCTATCATAGGATCGACAAGACAAGCCAACATGTTAGCACTCCATATACTACATCAAAATGGATTAAATTACTAAGGAATTCGATAAATATATACTAATTACCGAAGATTCTCACAAATGACAGCATTTTCGCGTTTAATTATGTTTTTCCTCTCTCTTTCTGTGAAAGATGAACAATAACAGTTAGACGAACACACAAAAGAATTAGTGTCAAACGTGAACGATAAATTAGCTTTAATTTAATGCTATAAATTGTTAGAAGTTTTCATAAATCAGGTGACCTCAAGCACTGTCACATAGATTAAACACAAACAAACAAACAAACCAACAAAATATGGTACTCACAATCAAATTGAATCGGCAGAGTTTGAAGTAACATTTTACATCTATACATATATATAAATGAAAGAGATAATGGAGATGGAATTTCCCAAGGAGAGTGGGAGCCGCGTTGCCAACTGTTTCCTTTGTTGACATTAAGACTCACTGCCAACTTAATTTTAAGTTTGATAAAAATAAAAAAACTTAATTTCAAGTTCAAGATAAATGGGACAATTCTCTCTCTCTCTCTCTCTCTCTCTCTCTCTCTCTCTCTCTCTCTCTTATATATATATATATATCTTTGGGTTTCGAAATTGGAGGATTTCCTTAGTTCACAATCTAGATTGTAGGGCTCTATTTGGACTTGTTGAATAGATCTTATTTTAATAATTTATATTGTTTGTTTTGTTAGACATTTCGTATATTTCATTCATACAAAAAATTAAGTCAATTTAATAATTATAACTTATTCAATTTATTACATTTATCATTAAAAAACAATTATGATTATATTTTTAAATATAAATAATTCATTTTTGAAATGAAGATTTTCATAGGATTCACATCAGGTACAAGAATTAAATAAAGAAATACTGTGGATTTGGCATACAAAGTCAAGATTAAAATGAAAGCCGAACTAGTGCATGCGTTATATGGACGATAAATATATATAAAAATATGATGTTTATATATATATATATATATGTAGTTGACGAGAATCTTGGTGTGGGCTTCCTAGTGGTTCCAATTTTACGTTAGGCCTAATTGACTATGTATTGTTTATGTTTTGAGAATACAAAATAGTTGCCAGTTAACTTGTCATATAGATAAAGCCAATGACTATGTAGTATTTATGTATTGCATTATTTTAGTCTTTTAAATTTTAATTTTGTGAATTTTTATTTTTTTTAATAATTTGAATGAAATTGGTCTAATTTCAAAAGCTCTATGTGACTATGGTTTTTAAAATTTTTATTTTATCAATTTTGTATCAAAATATTGTGAAATTATTTTTGAATAGTTGGAATTTGTAAGTAAAATGACAATTGGGTATGAAAAAAATACTTCATATATAATTTTTATACATAATTTATCACCAAAATAAGGTGAGAGTGATTCTATAATTAAATGCTATTCAAACGGATAATATACTTTAAAATAATAAATATCAACAAAACTGCGTCACTCCGGCTTATTGAGTAATCATTTCGTTTTCAGTTTTTAGTTTATATTTACAAAAATTTTAAAAACTGTTATAAAAATTTATTTGATAAATTTTTTGATTTATAAATGGTTGTCTCCGTTTATAAATTTGAAGAAAAAAATGTAAACTCAAAAATGAGTTTACATTGGTTTTTAAACAGAAATTTAAAAATTTGACTAACAATTTTTTTTCAATTAATTTTTTTTCAGTTAATTTTTCTTCAAATAATATTTTTTCAATTAATTTTTTTTCAAATAATTTTTTTTTCAATTAATTTTCTTTTTCCGATTATTTTTTTTTCAATTATAATGTGCATGATCCTATTGTCATAAATAATAAAAATAATCTCAAAAGGAGTCTTATTATGCAATTTGGAACTAGGCAAACGATTGATAAGAAATACAGAAGTAGCTAAAGCATCAAACCAAAAAGAAAATGGTAGGGCTGATTGATGAAGAAGAGCAATAGTAGTAGTAATTAAATGTCTATGTTTGCGCTCAGCTACTCCATTTTGAGGAGGAGTATGAGGACAAGAGTGTTGATGAAGGATGCCATGGAGATTCATAAAATTAAGCATGGAATTGTTGACAAATTCACCTCCACCATCAGTTGGAAAAATTTGAAGGGGAAAGCCAAATTGTTTTTCAATAAAGGTTTTAAAAATCATAAACTTGGAAAACACCTCACTTTTATTAAAAGGAGGATAAATCCATGTGAATCTACTAAAATCATCAACAAACAACACATAAAAACTCAAGGGATCAAGGACAATGGATTATTAACAGTGGAGTTTGAAAGTTTAAATGGAAGCCTATGACATTTGGAAACTGAGCAATCAATAAAACTCAAGGGATCTTTATGTAAACTAATAGACAAATGAGACTTTAGTGTTTGAAGCTTCGAAAAAGATGGATTTATGCCAAAGTTCAGCAGATGGTGATGAACCAGTAGAAAATGCAGCAGCAGTGGATGGAGTCAAGGGCAAAGCATGAGGTGAAGAAGTAAAATGATATAAACCATTGGCATGATATCCTTTGTGAAGAATAGCTTTAGAAGCTTTGTCCTGAATGGCAAATGAAGAGTGGTCAAAAATAATAGAACAATTGTTGTCTTTGGCTAATTGCTGTACAGAAAGAAGATTAGATGAAATAGTAGGAACATGAAGAACTTTATTAAGTTTGAAAGAATGACGTGGAGTAGGCAAAATACCTTTCCCAGTGTGGTGAATGGGGAGAGATTCACCATTGCCAATAGTAACTTGGTCAGGACCAGAGTAATGTTGATAGGAGTTCAGATGATGAAGATCATTGGTGACATGATCAGAGGCAGCGGAATCCAGAAACCAAGGAGTAGAGTTCTGAGATGCATTATCATCAGTCATAGAGGCAACATAAACTTTGGAATGAGAATGAGGAGGAGGCTGAGAGGATGACTGAGGCTGAAATTCAAGATCCAGTCGATGCCAACAGTCAAAGGCAGAGTGGTTAAGTGGTTAGGTTTACCATAGATTTGACAAGCATAATCAAAATGAAATCTGCCTATCCAGCCACAATTCGGAGATCTGCCTTTGAAATGTGAAGATCTTCCAGAACCAGATCGGTATGAACCTCGATAAGTACCTCTTGATTCATGTCGAGAAGAACCTGATTATTGTGATAAGAATTGAAACCTTTGGATGATGGAGATTCCTTCATTGCTGCATATGCAACAGTAAGAGCAGAGGACCGCTTGATTTTTCCTTCAATATGAATTTCTTCCGAACAAAGTGAGGACAAAAGATCATCCATGGATATTTTCTCGGATCTTGCTCAAATTGCAGTTTTGAAGGAATCATATTCCGCAGGTAATCCATTCAAAGTGATAAGAACAATGTCTTCATCTTCAATGAACGAGGAAGCAATGCTAAGTTGATCAACAAGAGATAATGTTGCTGAGATATACCTCCATTGAGTTAGAATTCTTTGAGATGGAGGTTAACTTGTTCTTAAATTGATGGATATGTGATCTTGATAAAGTTGTAAATTGTTTGTCCAATGCAAGCCAAATTTCTGAACTCGTCCGAAGATGAAGAACAGTGGTGACGATAGCAGAGGAGAGAGTGGCCGTGATGCAACTTATCGAAGGTGCATCAATCAGTCTCCATTGAAGTGCTTTGGGATTGTTCACCTCCAAACCAGAGGAATTTTGGATACAATCTGCTGGACATGAATAATATCCATCAACGAATTTCAGCAAATCGGTGGCATGAAGAATGTTCTTCATTTGACTGCTCCAGATGATGAAGTTTGTATTATCCAGTTTTACAGTCACAAGAGAACTCAGATTAGAAATCAGCTTGTTGAGATTCGAAGGGATTGCAGAAGAAGATGATGGAATTGCCATCGGAGATGCCATTGAAGGTATGCTTGTCTGAGCTTCACAACTCTAATACCATGAAGAAATATTGAGAAAGTATATTCTTGATTACTTCCATTGAGTGCATTTACAACTGTATATATACATATCAGAAGCCATGCGTAACAACCTAACTAACTAACTCTAAGTCTGTTATGGTTTATGATCCTATGTAGCATAGTATACCATAGTCTAGGCTATGACTCTATTCTTGTGATTATCTGGAGTGCCTTCTCTATCAATGTTCACCTATCTATGTCTGTTTGTGGTTGCCACTAATCGTCGGTGACTTTTCCAACACTAGCAATTTTTTGGCGACTTTTCTGCCCCATCGGTAGTGGTGGCGATGGGGGACAATTGATATTAGCGTATGAGAATAGAGAAGGAAGGTAGAGATAAAAAATAAAAAAATAAAAAAATTAAAGCAATAATTTATACTTCTCACCAATATATTTAGTGAACTATATCTTTAAAATCAAAACAAAGCATTTGTCTTTTGTTTTTTACTTACTACTAGACATATAATGATAAAATTCAAATATTTAAAATAAAATTAATTATAATAATATAATAAATATCACATTAATACATAAAAAATAATTTATGGCCGTTATTAATTTATGCATTTGGATCCTCCATTTGCAGAATGTGTGCCCAGAAGCTGCCACGCTACAAGAGAAGCTCACCAATTTATTATGATCATGACGTCTTTTGAACTCTTTGAATGAAATTGCCCAAACCACGTTCACAATCTCAACCTCGTAGCCAGGTATAATATTCTTGTGATAAATCTCTACATGTTTGAAATTATCAATTGGCTATCCCTACTTTAAAAAGACTTGAGATTATTAAATTTACAGTTTTTATAGATGGGTAATTTATACTTGTAAAATAAATCACTATGCTTGGTTCCATTTTTCCAAAAACAGTTTTCAGAAAATTCTACTTTCTTATTTTTCGTGTTTTTTTGTTTTTACTGAATTTTTTTAATATTTTAAGATTTTTTTTTTACTTTTTAGACATGCCTAACATAATTATATCTAAAAAGTAAAAAATTTGTGAAAAAAACCTTTTAAAAATTCATTAAATACTAAAAATACAAAAAAAATACGAAAATTATGTACATTTTTTGTATTTTTATGTATTTATTAATTTTTTAAAATATTTTTTCACAAATTTTTTACTTTTTAGATACATCTAAGTAAGGTGCATCTAAAAAAGTAAAAAAAAATGTTTAAAATGTTAAAAATATTCACTAAAAACAAAAAAATACGAAAACAAAAAAAACTTAGTTTTCAAAAAACTTAATCCAAAAAACTCAAACAAAACACACTGATATTTAGATTTTTGAGATCCCTTATAAATGGAAAAGAAGATTATTAAATTTCCTTTTAACAAATGATATAAGAATACTTGTGTATTGCTGTAGCTGCTTCTAATAATCTTATTAGAGTCTTCAATCTTTATATTAACAGTATTGCTATTCAAAATCAAAAATTAAACTTAATTTTTAAGTCTAGTGATGTGGCAATTAATTA